CAGATTCCGGAGGGACGAGGGCTGGAGAGTGATGGTGTGGGGGGTGGCGGGCCGCACGGGGGGCTGGCGCTCGTAACGTTGGGAGCGACTCGCTGGCTTGGCTGGAGGCATGCAGGCTTCGGCCGGGAGCCGCCTGTTGAGATCGGCGAGCTGCCAAGAGAAGGGAAGTGGTGGGTGGGGTTAGAGCCGGGAGTGCCTGGCCCTGTGCGGCAAACACCCCCTGGGGCTTCTTCCCGCCGTTCCTAGAACGAAAATCTCTTTGCCCCCTAGGTGCCCCCGATGTGCGGATTTAGATATCCGCATGCAGGGGGGCGCCTTGGCTATTAGTATATACAATTTCAGTTTAAAACATGATAAAGCATTATGACAATTAGAGCAATGGGTACAGCTGGAAAACAGTGTCAGTTGGCTATAAAGTTCTGGCCCGACGGTGCAGCGAATTAAAGGCCAGTTGCTGGTGGTCAGTAGATGGACGGGCGACAGCAACCTCAGGGAGGCCATAGATGGGCGCCCGCCACCTCAGCCAAAGCCCTGGCGGAAGAGCTCCGTCTTGCAGGCCCTGTGGATGTGAAGGAGACCCCGCAGGGCCCTGGTCTCGATGGGGAGCGTGTTCCACAAGGCGGGGGCCAGGGCAGAGAAAGCCCTGGCCCTGGCTGAGGCAAGACAGGCGTCCCTCGAGCCAGGGACCACCGGGAGCAGTGTTCCCTCTAAGCTGAGTTAGTGTGAGCCAGCTCACCGTTTCTTAGCCTCCGGCTCACACATTCTTGTCTTCGCTCGGGAAGGAGGGCTCCAGAGCAGACTAATTGATGCAGCAGCCGAATCGCTCGCTCACGACTTTAATGCCAGGAGCTCACAAAGTGGAATTTTTGCTCACAGGACTCCACAGCTTAGAGGGAGCCCTGACCAGGAGGTGTTGATCTTTCGAGCGGAACGCTCTGCGAGGCGTATGTGGGAAGAGGCGGTCCTTTTGATACGTTGGTCCCAGGCCGCATAAGGCTTCGAAGGTCAAGACCAACACCTTTACCAAAAGTATTTGGTAAAAGTATCAAAAATATTTGATAAAAGTATTGATCAAAATGTTTATATCCCAATCTTTCCTCGTGGCTCAAGGCAGCTTATACTCAACGATCCCCCCTCGGGCGACACGGCACCCGCTTCAAATCAGCCAAACCTGACTAAGCTCTGGCCTGGGCCTGCCCCCCCCCCCAAGCCCTCCTCCTCTGAGCTCCACGGACTGCCTGGCGCCGCCTTCACGGCAACTAAGCCCAGTCCCGTCCCTCGTACCGGCCGCCTTGCATCTCCGCCGGATGCAGCCCCAGGGCCCTGCTCATTTCTCTTACCTCCATCCGACGGATGTCGATGGACAGGACGGTGGTGAAGAAGAGCATCTGGAGGAAGAAGTCGGACACCAGGCCGACCACCGCAAAGAGGCAGAACTCCTGAGGGCGAGACCCGGGGGGGAAAGAGGGGGAGAGCTGTGATAAGGAGGGCGGCTCCATGTAGATTAATCTCCCCCCCTCCAGAGCTCCTAGCAGGATGACACAAAGTGGTTCAGGGTGGTGACAAGCAGGGAGGATTGTGAGGCACTCCAACGGGATCTCTCGAGGACGGGCGAGTGGGCGTCAACGTGGCAAATGGGGTTCAGTGTGGCCAAGTGCCAAGTGATGCACATTGGAGCCAAAAATCCTAACTATAAATACACGTTGATGGGGTCCAAACTGGCAGAGACTGAACAAGAGAGAGATCTTGGAGTCGTAGTGGATAACTCACTGAAAACGTCAAAACGGTGCGCAACTGCAATTAAAAAAGGCCACCGCTATGCTGGGGATTAGACCCCTGGAGAAATCAGTTTCCAACAATGGTCATTCAAAAGAAAAGAAAGTTTATTGAGACAATGATAGGACCCAGACTCTTAATGTTTCTGTGTTAAAACTGGGGCAAAGTATGCGAACTAAACAATTATACCTAAATCAAGCAGGACCCCAATGGCCCGGGGCCAATCACATCTCAGCTAAGAGCCTGCCAAAATAACAGCCTATAGTTCCAGGGGGAAAGATGATACCAGTCGTGACTGGGACTTGTCTGAGCCGACCAAGATAACTAGGAGCAACGGTGAAGCAGATAAAAGCGAAAGTATACGTTCTCTCTAACCCCTACATCCCCATGGCAACCAAGCCCGAAGGAAAGGGCAAGGTTGACACTGGCCACCCCTGCCTTCTTACAGTGGCAGAACTTCACAAGACCAAGGACACCCAAGCTCCTCAGGACTATCCGTCTTCCTCTTATCTTGGCATCTACGCCATGCAAGCTCTATTCCGCCAGATGTTTCCATTCCTGTTTTGTACAGGGAGAACTAAGAGTAGCAGGCTGCCCAAGTTCAGCCAGCGGTGAACTGGGATTCGAACACAGATCTCTTGCAGCCAACACAGGGCCACAGTCACTCTGACTTGCCCTGTGTCAACATGGAACAGCGAACGCTAAGAAAGAGCCGGTACACGTTCACTTTATGAATAAAACCGGGGACCGATGCCTGGGTTAATGTGGTGCTTAAATCGTACGTTAAGCTGTAAGTGTGTTGCATGTTCCATGAGAATTACACGTATAAAGAAAAACTGGACAGGTTGGACATGCATTCACTGTAACTCGTGAACAGGCCTTCTGGGAGGAAGATAATCAAGGCAAAGAGAAGGAAGGGGTCGGCCACAAGCAGGGCGCCTGTCCCTGGTGACTGGTAACCATTAAGCCATTCACAGCAAATATTTGCTTGCATAACTGATCCTGGGAAAACACCGTGCTTTGCAGGGCACGGATGCCCACTCCCAGTGAAAGTCCCCGGCCAGTTCTCCTTTGCTCTCTTATCGCCATGGTGCACACAGCTACAGCTGAACTGCCAATCTGGATGCCGGCAGAAGGCTCTGCGAAGGGCCAAGGCCTCCCCGCTTCAGCCAATTCAGGGCAAAGGTCTCTCCTTTGCCAGGACTGCCTAGGAGGACTGGGTGATCTATCTGTCGTGTTCCTCGTGCTCAGGGACACAGATAAGAGAGGCCCATCCCAGATGTTAATCAGACAGCATCGCTTTAGAGGGAAGAGAGGCAGAAATCGGGTAGATGAGACACAGCGTTGGAAGTCCCCTGTGAGCTGTGCAAGAGAGCGGCCGCTCATGAACACAGGAAGCCCTGCTCAGCAGCAGTCTGGAGCTGCGCAGGGTCTTGGACTGCCCCATGGCCCATTGGAAGGATGTGAACTGCTCCGCTCAGTAGGGGGAAAAATCAGAGGGAACACTGCAGATGCCTCTGAACTCAGAGGACTACGCCACCGCTCTACTCTCACAATGCAAGAGGGACAAAGATTCCCTCTGCTCAAAGAACTTGACAGTATTTTAAAAATGTAAATACTGGAGAGAGGAGGGGAAGCCACCACACCAAGAACGCTTCCAACCAAGGCGTGTCTGGGGAAAAGGTTCAGGCAGTGCTGGGGCTGCCGGGGGGGCATGGGGGCGTGGAGTCTGCCCCCTGGCCACGTACCTGGATGGCTGGGACCAGGGTGAAGTAACCAATCAGAATGATCCCCAGCTCGGTGGCCATGTTCTTCATGATGGACCAGCTCTCGTTGCTCAGTCCTGGGGGGAATAAAAGGGATATGCACAGAGAGCAGGTCACTCGTTTACCCGAAGCCCAACAAAATTATAACCAGACACAAACGCAAACAGCAGCTTTGTCCAAGCCCACCAGATGTTCAAAAAGCCCTTATAAAAAGCCAGGGTGTTTTTCTGGGCGAGGCCTGAGGCTGAGCGGAGGAGCGGCCTGTAGGCCTCAAGACCACCTTCTCCTCACACGCGGGCCTCGGGCCCAGCTGCCAGTTCCACGCAAGCACGGGTTTCCCAGGCTCCATCCAAGCCTCATCCAAGCCTCATCCAAGCCTCATGAAAATGGAGGGAAGAGGGAGCCAATCAGTGGCGAGGAGGTGGAGCCTGGAGAGCGGATAAAGCCCTGTGCCCAGGGAATGGGAGGGGGGTTCAGTGCCTGAATCTGGGCAGCAGAGAGGCTTCCTTCGGGTGGGAGCGGATCCCTCACTCCAAGGTGTAGTTGAGAGTTAAAGAGTTCCCAGGCTGGGCCTCGCAACCAGCAGGAGGGCTGGAGGCAGGGACATGCTGGCTGTGTCACTATTAGGGTTGCCAGGTCCCCCGCGGATCGGGCCGCCGGGGGGAACCCCACCCCCAAAATGCCGGGATTGCGAAAACGTGCCCAGCGTGATGACGTCACCCGGAGGGAGGGGGACTGTAACGATTCCTTGTTTTAAGAGTGTGTGTGCGCCTTTAAGTGTTTGGTGGAGGTACAGTGATAGCAGAGCAGAGTGATTGAGGGAGACAAATGTGCTGTGATTGGTGGGTGACAGAGCGTGGGAGGGGTTTCTGAAGTGAATCTGTGTGGGCGAATGAGAGTGTCAGTTATGTAAGTTACTTATGAAAGTCAGTTGGAATTGTTCAGTGGGTGTTCAGTCAGTGAGGGCTATGTGAGTTCTGTGTGAGATCTCAAAGAGGGCAGTATATATGTCCTTAGCCTGAGTGGCTGGACAAAGAGTGAATCCTGTTAATGTTGGAACTGAGTGTCAAACAAACAAAAGTAAAGGAGAAAAGGGCTGTGTGTGTGATACATTTGAACAACGTATTTACAAGTCCCTTTATCCTAATTGAGCTGCGGTGGCTCAAGTGGTTAAGACGCTGAACTGCAGGCTGTGGAAGGTCGGTAGTTCAGCAGTTCGAGACCCGAGTTCCCGCATGACGGAGTGAGCTCCCGTCTCTAGTTCCAACTCCTGCCAACCTAGCAGTTCGAAAGCAAGAAATTGCAAGTAGTTAAATAGGTACCACTTCAGTGGGAAACGGAGATGAGCACCGCAACCCTAGAGTCGGATTTGACTGGCTTTCGAGCAAGGGAACCTTTACCTTTACCTTTTATCCTAAACAGTTACAATCCAACCCACCTCATATTTTGTTCTCAGTTCAATAAATCATCTTTTGTTTAAATTATCCCAGAATTCAATTCAATCCTTCCTCGGGACCACCTAGATCCCTGAAAAGCCTAGACCCTGGGTTACTTTACCAGAAAGAGGAACAGAGAGAAGGTTTGGAAATCCTTAAATTCCTGGTGGCAGCCGACTCTACATAAAGCAAAGAGCACATTTAAAAGGAAAACCAGTCCTCCCAAATAAGTAGACGCCACAGGGACGCTCTATCATTTGAGGGAAAACTCTATGGTTTCCCCTTGAATGACAGTGGTCCCGCCCCCAACGGGACTCCCCCGCTAAAAATAAGGTAAGACTCGGCAACCCTAGTCACTATGTCGATTCTGGGGGAAATCTAGAAGTGACATGGTATCGCTCTAGGAATCACCAGAAAATTTATTGTAAAACTGTAGTTTCCGGCAATTCCTAGAGCTACCTCACATCGCTCCCAGGGCCAGGAGTCGACAGCAGGGAAAGACCTCGGCCTCTATGCCCTGCTGCTGGACCTCTGGAGGAACTTGTTGACCACTGCCTAAGGCAGGACGCTGGACTAGATATACTGCTGCTTGTCAGCTATGCTGCCATGATGTTTATGGGCGAGAGTGCATCTGCTTGACCTGTGAACCAACTGCTGCAGCATTCCTTCCTTCTTTATTATCTCTGACCATGTAAGCTGCCTGTGTAGTGTCTTCCCATCAATTACCCGTGGGATTAGTTTAGATTCCCAGCTTTGGCTTTAACGGCCTGGGGCCCCATTCTCCTGCGTGTGGGAGTCAGGCCAATTGGCCTAGGGGTGGAGGGTGGGGGTGCCTACGAATACCCTATATCCCATTATGCTTGTAGGAACGTAGCCATTCCTAACAGTGACAATGTTACTGCCTCTATAGCTCTTACAATAAAGTATAACCTTATGATAAGCGTGTACTCCTTCGTTTGGCTGTGGAACCTGAGAGTGGTCTGAAGAGAGAGGGGCTCTTCTTATTGGTCACCAGGACACCATGCCGTGAATGCCATTAATATAGATATTCAGGTGTGGCACCAATTAAAATGTCATCCAGTACGAGGGTCACAATTCTCCCCCCAGAGAAAGAGAGAGACACACACACACCCTCTGGTGACTGTGATGAGCCCCTGCCCTTCTCCTAAATCTGGGGGTGGGGAGGTTGGGTCAGGAAAACCATCCCTGATACATCCAAAGCTCAGCGTAACGACAGGGAGCTGTGGCTCAGTGGCAGAGCATCTGCTTTGCATGCGGATGGTCCCGGGCTCAATCCCTGGGATCTCCAGCTGAAACGAGCAGGTGGCAAGCGAGATGAAAGACCTCCACCTGAGGCCCTGGAAAGCTACTGGCCGTCTGAGGAGACAATACTGACTTGGGTAGTAAAGGTAAAGGTTTCCCTTGCTCGAAAGCCAGTCGAGTCTGACTCTAGGGTTGCGGTGCTCATCTCCGTTTCAAAGCCGAAGAGCCAGCGCTGTCCGAAGACGCTTCCGTGGTCATGTGGCCGGCATGACTAGATGCCGAGGCGCACGGAATGCTGTGACCTTCCTACCAAAGTGGTACCTGTTTATCTACTTGCAATTTCTTGCTTTCGAACTGCTAGGCTGGCAGGAGCTGGAAGGCAGCTTCACGTTTCAGAGGCAAAATATCGCCCCTTCTAACAGGCTGTGCACGCCCTGGTAGTAGGGCAGGAAAAGAAGAAGCGATTGGATTTATACCCCGCCCTTCACTCGGGAGTCTCAGAGTGGCTTACAATCCCTTTCCCTTCCTCTTGTCAGGTTCAGC